CAGCAGTTACGGAACACGCGTAACTTGGCTTCATCCAGCTTCTGCCTTTTTCGAACTCATATTTATGCGTGATTACGGCAAACTGCTACCCCCATGGCCCTGCAAACGCTTACCCCTGGACAGTGATTGCCCCAGAGTTGTGACGAAACGGTGGCAATAGCGGAACTGGTGAGGTAAAAGTCTCATATTTTAGCTGTTATTTCGCCTACCAAGTTTCCTACCGGTCCCGAAATGATTCCCGCGAAAGTACAAAACCACAACCAATGCACCGTGACTTTGTTCTTCTGTTGTAAGATTCCGGCGCGCTCTTACCTGGACTAACAGCAGGATAAGTTACACTCAGGAACCAATAGCAGGAGCAGAGCATGGATGCACACAGGGTTACTTTAGAAATCTGGCTTGTGCGTACTGGGAACTAGTATTCATTCGACACAGATTATTACCTAGGATCAGTGGATAGGTTGTTTACGTTCTTGTCTTATCAGAGGAGTCCGTCTTCTTCATACCAAGAAGAGCAATTAAGACCTAAGCTGATTGGCTCTTGAAAACTAGGAAGTTATTACAGCATTTAAGAGAATTGTACACAGAGAATATTACTAAAAACGTTGGGTGGAGAACAAAACTGGAGCGCCTCTGGGCTAGATAAAGTTTCTGACCGACGACTTTTTCAGGCCATGCAGTCAGATTTGTTCGTGTCGTGCGCCTGCTCGCTTTTAACTTGAGCAATTGTTAATTAACTCAGTACTAGGCGGATTGATTTTTAATGTAGCTCGAATCAAGTAAAAAGGGTTCCTCATGACACATGTTTTATTTGTAAGGGTTTGCTGATCGATAAGACTTGTCTGAAGGCGTTCATCTTCAAACGGACATCCCTCGATAACGGACTACTTCACCCAAATAACAATGAGTGCTCTCTGCGACTGCCTATTATCCAGCCTGGCCCTCCTTCTGTCAAATTATCATATTCCTCTGAGATGCTGTTGAGCTCTCACTTCTGATAGGGACCGCAAGCAATAGTTGATTCAGTTAAATCCAATGTCCGGACCTGCATTGCATCCCCACTCTTACTTTTGAATAATGCGTCTATTTGATGTGACAGATTATCCGCTTCCCATTGTTGGTTTGTGTACCGCTGCAAACGCAATCCATGACAAGATTCTGTCTTTGCAACTCCTGCAAGGTCTTTAGTGTAGCTTTCGGATATTTGTAAGTGTAAAAAACACAACATGTAGTTACTGACGTCGACATTAGCATATTCGAGCAAGTTTCAGGGTGGGACACACCTCGATCGCTCAAACCTTCATTGCTTTACTAACAGAAACTCGAAGGAGATATAAAAAATGGAATTCAACTTTTCCTTGTCCTTTTTCTAACTGACATCCAAATTTTGTAAATTATTGCTCACCTTTCTGCAGGATTGCAGTTTGGAACGGCTGAACCACAGAGGGCCCTAAATTATGAAAGTAGCCTGGTTTGTAGTTCGAGGTATACAAGTAAACTTTCGTATTTTACAAATTACGAAAAAATGGCTAACCGTAAATCAGCAAGACCTTGTTAAAGCAACATAAGAAGCACTATAGACTGCGTAAAGTTCTGATCGTCCAACAAAACTATTCGAGATTGCGTTAGATAACCGTCCCGGCAAAGCCATTTCCCCATTGGTGTATGCCACCTCCATTTTTTATGAGGTTTAAATAGTTTTTTTACAAGGACTTTTCAAACTAACCTCTCGCAATCCTTTAAAGGGAAAAGACTCCTCCTCTTAAACGTTGGCTGTTGGTGGTATCGGGTACTTATGCTCAAAACATCAATTTGTATTTCAAA